GACTCTATTAGATTTTCATGTTTAAATCTTGTGTCTAAAGTTCTTTTAGGCTAATTCTGAATCATTTTACTTTTGAAACTCTTTTGGAATAGTTCACCATCCTATGATCTTTTAGCTTATTTCTGAGAATACAAGCATGAACCTGTCATATAAACTTGTCAGTATTTCATGTGATCCTGTCTATGTATTTTGGCTAGAACTGTTATTAGTTACAGTTTTAGGAGTTAAGTGTGAAAATTGTTTAATTAATTCCACGAGTGGTGTGTCACCTGTATGGTTAAGTTTGGCATCCATTTGGCTAAGTAAGTTATTCGTTGGGCCTAGTGTTGGGCCATATGTGTTGTTGGATCTGGGCAATGGATTCAGGAAGCTTTACTGTCCTTATGAGTCTGAGATTTGGATCTGTTGGTTGGTGAGGCTGCTGAAGGACCAGAAATTCACTGGGTTATTTTATAGCGGGCATGTACTGTTTGATGGGGGCCTGTACTTGTTTCAGTCTGTATTTTTGTCATCTTTCAGTTTGTATCATTCAATTTTGGTTCTGTAACTTATAATAACAAATAATTGGGGCATTAGTGAAATTGGGGAATGTGTGTGCTTTATTCTTGCATAAAGGGTAGAGAGCATGCCTATAAGGTCCATGTGTTTTATTTGCTATTATGTTTGGCTTGCTCTACTTCTGCACGCTAATAGAAATCATGACTATAGAAATTGCACACTCCTCACCTAATTTGTCTAATATCACTATCTCAAACATGCTATTAATCACCATACTTGATTTCTATGTTATTTACTGTGCGTTTAGACAACATGCCCATATGATGTATATTATATGCTTTTGCTAACCTAGATATCATGCCTATAGGATTTTAAATAATTAATTGATCAAATTGCTTTTATTACTTTTGGTGCACTGTCCATCTAGATATCCTGACTATAGGATGCTTCTGCCGTTTATTACACTTCCACCTAGATAGCATGCATATAGGAATAACTATGATAACAACGAGTTCAAATACCAATTGTTAGGAATCTTGCCTATAGAATACTGTCATCGGCCTAGGAAGCATGTCTATATAGCCAAATACTGGTAATTCCGAGTTTTCTAATAGCTTTCACGGCCCATTGTACAAACAACTTAGAAATCATGTCTATAGGTTTTTATAACACATGCAATTTGAAAATTAGTTAATTTGGAACAGCAACACTGCCTGTACGACGTTTGAAATCAAAATCGTATAGAAATCATGCCTATAGGACGGTATCACCCGCCTAAGATGCCTATTGATAAAATTAGTGCTAATAATCCTGAGTCTGCAAATGGTTTACTGCCTCCTCGCCTAAGTCATTTAGAATAATAATGATGAATATACGATACTGGAATTAAGAATCGCCTAGAAACTATGCCTATAGGATTTTAAGTCTTGATTCTAAAACAATGTACTGCCTAAACTGCCGCGTGCATTTGTTGTTTATATGTGGAGGCTAACTTGGGCCTTTAATTGTCTTTATGTGAAGTCCTATCTGTTTTTAATATTAGTTTTATCATTTTGAGCACCCTAAGTAAGGTCTAGAACCACCTAATAGTAGGTCCAATGCCTCTTGGACCATAGGCATGGGACAGGTAGTGCACGCATATGATACGACTTAGAATTGAACTAGAGCGCCTTTAAGTAATAACTTCAACTTCAACATAGTAATTGGGTAGCAGGAGATGATAGTCTGTGCCCGCTTAATAATATGAGCAGCCCCTACCTTAAGGGAGTTGCGAAGTATTATTTATGTTGCACGGGGTGATCCTTTAGGCTAAAAAACTTAGGACCCCCCATTTCCTGGTTATTTACACTTAGTTATTTAACATAGACCAATGTAGTTATATCCTTGCAATCATTAAGGACTTGTATCAGTTCTCATGTGTTATGATAAGACTCTTCGGCTTCTATACTTCCCTTTGTTTATTTGATCATCTAGCCTAATAACATAATCCACTTAGTTTAAACTTCGGCCGGAAACCACAGTTGTGGACCTCGAAGAGTACCTGACACCTTCTATTCGAAGTAACTTGAGCCCTTACCCGATCTTTAGTGACATAGACTAGTTAAACAGAGTTATCTGCAAATAGGTGCCCTAACGCACCTTAAAATCGTTAGGTGGCGACTCTTCTCTTTTAATACCTTCCTTTATAAGAGTTGTCACACGTCGAAACTCGCTTTCGTGAGAAAATGGGGTGCGACAATAACTAGAATTAAACATTTAACACAATGAGCTAATATTAAAAATTTGAATCAAACAAAAGATAAATTATTTTCTTTAGTATTGAAAATAAAAAATTCTTTAGTTTAACTAATTCGCAAAAGAATATCATTCGAATATATTTTTTAAATTCTCATATAAGTAAAGTTATTTTTCAAGTTGACATACTTTTTGAGTACATAAATTTATTTTCATAAGAAGAACATCAACGATGAAAGGAATCAAAAAATTAGCTCGATTATAATATAATATTAAGAATAAGAGGTTAGAATGCAAACAAGAAAAAATGAGGTTGAGACAGTATTGAAGACAAACTATATTCTAATGAGTTGGCGGTAATTATTTTTCTTTTATTTTCCATTCATTCCGGCAATTGATTCTTTGTAGTTTTTGTTACCAAAAAAAAATGACTTTTTGTAGTTTTTTAATATTAAGTCATCTATTGCAAAATACTAACTCAACATAAATTACAACAAACAACCTAGTAAAATTCCATTAGTAGAGTCTACGGAGGATAGTGTGTATGCAGACCTTATCCCTACTCCGAAGGAATAGAGAGGCTGTTTTGAAAGACCCTCGGCTCAAGAAAATAAAAAGACAAAAGGAGACAATATTAGTATCACCAAAGAAATCATAGGACTAATAGAAACAACATGAAATCCAGAAGAAAGATGCAAAGCAAAAGCGTTAGCTAGTAAATATGTCCTGCATTGAAAAGTGAAATAGTAAGACACAACATTGGCACTAGCTATCTTACACAAAAACCCTACCAGACTAGTCTCACAAAAGTACGAAGTAAAGCAAGACTCGCCTATCTCCTAACCTACAACCTAATACTCGACCTCCACATCCTATCAAGTGTCATGTCCTCGGAAATCTGAAGTATCTCCATATCCTGCCTTATCACTTCTCCCCAATATTTCTTAGGCCGCCCTCTACCTCTTTGTGTGCCCTCCACAACCAGCCACTCACACCTCCTTACCGGAGCATCTGGGCTTCTTCGTTGAACATGCCCAAACCATCTGAGCCTCGCTTCCTGCATCTTGTCATCAATGGGGTTACGTGCACCTTTTCCCGAATATCATCATTGCTAATCTTATTAATCCTAGTGTGCCCGCACATCCACCTCAACATCCTCATTTCTGCTACTTTCATCTTCTGGATATGTGAGTCCTTAACAGGCCAACACTCAGCCCCATACATCATGGCCGGTCTAACCACCGCTTTATAGAACTTACCTTTGAGTATCGGTGGCACTCTCTTGTCACACAGGACTCCAGATGCTAACCTCCACTTCATCCATCCTACCCCAATACGGTAACTCAACATAAATTATTTATGTATTTTAAATTTATACTTATCCAATTTTTTTCTAGGAACTATAGGATTTATCCCTTCATTCCCGAATCTATACAAGACTAGAAGATTCAATTTTTAAATTTGTGTTGTTTGACAAGTATTTGAAAAAAAAGTGATAAAAGCATATAACAAATATTCAGTCATTTGTGCCGAATGAAAATTTTGGTAAATTAGCAACAAACAATAGATGTTGGTATTCAAATTTATAATAGCGTTCTTGTGAGATACGAAGGAAGAAGCTAGGAGTTAATCAAAATCGAGATTAAGTGTATGTGTTGTTTAATTACGTTTTTATAGGTATTTTATATTAGAGTTTTATCTAATGGGTATTTGCATTATTTATTTTATAAATCAACACACTGTTTAATATTATTTATTTAATTTTTTAAAATAGTATATTCATTGATTTAAAATACACGCAATTTCTTATAAGCTTACACAGATACCCTCTTAAAAAAAACTCTTAAAACTAAATAATTATCGACTATTTTAATTGTTAAGCTACGAGAAACAGATTCTAGAACTCCAAACTTGATGCGAAGCATCAAATTAGAAAAATTCAAAAGACATACTCCAACAGTTACGTCTTTTGGAAGCGGTAGTCTTGTGACCTTTGATTATGTAAAATATAAAAAAGAGTAAATTCAGAGGGTAATCCCAACATAATGATGTATTGTTTTCTCGAAGAAAAGTCTATTTAAGACCACTGCAATGGGTGCTTAGGTTCGTAAATTTTTCTTTATTTGCTCAAAGTTGGGGTTCGCACCGCAACATTAATGCATATTGCTCTTTGGTTAGCACATTCATTCATCGTCTAGAGAACAAGTTGTTCAACTACAATTATTTTTGTTATTTGCCCGGACACATTTTTCCCTCCAACTTCATATGTAGCTCATTTCATTCACACATTTAGGACAAGTAGAAAACATACATGTGATTGCTTCAACCCTGAGAATGAGATACATTAATAGAGGCTGATAATTTTATACTACTTTTTACTCAAATTATAGGTTCAAATAAACTGACATACCAAATTAGTGTTACTCGCACTTAGTGTTTATACCAAATTACATTAATTTATTATGACTAAGTGATAAATTAAGGTGAGAAAACATACTAACTTTGGTTAAGTCGTAAAAGTGTATGTAGAAGACATATCCCATGATTTCGCATAAATATCAAAACATTACATGAATTATCAACGTAGGCATTTATTTGGTATATATATAAGGAGAAATCATCATTTCTTTCTTTAGGGAAAAATGTTCATCCTGCCTTAGACCATATTCTCAATCATATTAGATACTTATATATCAATAATAGCATTTTCCTTGAAAGAGACATGATCTAAAAAGCTCAACTACAACTGCTGGCAAAACAAACAGTCATGATATCGAACCAATAAGAATTCTGATTATCTTCCAATGGTAGTATTTTACACAACAAATAAAATGAAGTTCAGAATTCCCATTTCTATTTTTTCTCCATTATTTCTGGTGTTCAATTTCAAAACTGAATCTCATTTCATGCAAACTGACAACAAAGGCAAATCCCACAGCAGATTTACTATAGCTAATGTAGAATGGAACTAGCTAACTCGAGACAGTGGATATCTTCCTCCACCAAGCCAAGAATTGGTCTCCTACTTAAGCCAATAATTCAAGTTAGTGAAGCACTAATGTATGACCAGTTTGCTTCACCTATCTTGTACTTAATTAAGGATCATATTTGCAAAGGTTCTCGAAGCCCATGTATTCATGACGCTGGATCTTCCCAATCATGTTCGAGATTCCAACCCCACCTGTCAAACCAGAAAAGAAAATTCTAATACCAATACAATCTGAAACGCTGAATGAAGTGATGATTCATACAGGAGGGATGTTAATATATTGATGCTGATAGATACATACCTAGTAAAATTGCGCTCACGAAAATTGTGAAGGCAAGTATAAAGATGATAAGTGATGCTCTTCCTAGTATCACAATCATCTTCCTGACAACATGTTGCCCAACTAAAGCAGCAACAGTTGCCACGGCAACGAAGTACGCAGCTGCAGCAAGGATACAACTTTTATTTCCTATATAAAGGTGAAAAATCTACCTAATAACCGTTAATTTAAGGGATCAGCACACACATACCATAAGGAACTGGGAAACGTTTTAGAAGGTAATACTCTACAACAGACATTGATGAGGAGAACATCATTGCAAAGGTGGCAGTTGCACTTGAAACCTAATAGCAGAAAACACAGTTACATGAGACAATGGCTTTGAAGTATGATAAGAAGTTGAATAGATACTAGATAGGAACACAGATCACAAGTAAAAATATTCTTCCTCCAAAACTCCCTTGAGTTCAGCCATGGACACTTGAAGTAAAAATGGTAGCTGAACTCTTTGCTATTTGTACTATTTGACTACCAACTGAATTTTGAAAATATACAAAAACTGCTTTATAATTGGATAAAGACTATAAGCATGGATGCTTTTCATCCTTATCACAATAAAAAAAAAATGGTCTGCTTTTAATATATAACGCTGCTAAAGACTACGCATCAAACAACTCATTTTACTGTAATTCATTTCTAATGCAATCAAGGAAAAAAAAAACCTCAGCTGCATATAGGGAATAAGCAAAATGATGAGAAACTTCAAAGATGACAAGAAAAGCTCTTTTAGTTGTAGATTAACATGAGCATACAGAAGTCTAGGTAAAACGAAACATGGAAGGAAAAATGGGAAATGAATCATGTATGAAGCTAGAGGAAGATGATATGTGAATGTCATAATACACAAATACTAATCCAATTTGTCGAGAAACGAAGTATCCAAGAGTTTTGCCAAATTCTACACTTCAAAAGGCAAACCCCTAATAAACTTAAGTGAACATTATTCAGCACAGACCTTTATAGGTACAGTCAATGTTACTATTGACCACGGAATTTGTTGAAAACTAAGAGGCGCGTATATACATTACTCAGAAAATGATAACTGAAATCATCTGTAACAAAAATCTTTAGGCCATCTTCTTTAAATCAAGATATATGGGGCACCTTATCTTTGACTCTCACTGTTTGAGTTTCTCTTTCAATCCAGGAAATCAGAATTCATTTGTGTTTCTAACATATCTAAGATCCCTTTGACTTTAGATTTGGATCCAAAAAACTACATGCTGGTACTCATGGATTAAAAACTTCAATTGTCTTTTTGAGTACCAACACAATATCTTCTGAGAATTTCCAGAAGGGATTTGTTGCAAGTTTGACCTGGCTTAGATTTCATAGCTCAAGCCACCATAAATCTCAGGAGGATCAGTCTGCAGCCCTAGCCTCCCAACTTTGACGAACCAGTTGTCCAATTTTGTGGCTATTTCAGTTTTTAACAAAACTATATTGTCATGGTAAGAACATGAACATTAGAGATTATCGGCCAAAATAAAACTCAGCAAAGCATAACCAGCAAAATGAACCAACCACAGATTGGTAGAATTCGTGCACCCTAACGTATAAGAAAATAAATTTTTATCTTTGCTCCATACCACTTAAGGATAACAAATAGACGCACCTGAGGAGGAACGCCCAGCTCCAAAAACATAGGGCCCATGATAAATCCTCCGCCCAAACCAAGAAGTCCCCCTACCATACCCGCTATTACTCCAAAAAAGCAATAAACAATTAGTTGCAGCACCCGGAAGTTGGTTCCTTGTTCTCCCTTCGATTCAATCCTTCTCCAACCCTTGTATAGGCTAATAGCTTCATAAGATGATACACCAAGGGAAACTGGGATCTGCAGGACATTGGAAGAGTTCATTGTTCAATAGCTAGAACAATTTTTAGGATTTTACAGTTTGCTTCAACCTCCAATATAGGTTAAACACAAACCTGCAACAGGTTCACCGCCCAATATAGTGCTGTACAATTGTCTGTATAATTCTATTTCCACAAAACAAAAGGCCAGTTAGTTTACAAAATTAACAACTTAAAAAACAATCCAAACTCAGAGTATCATCTCTGAGCATACATGATATCATAAACAAAGAATATAGATATGAAAGAAATGAAAACCTTGCCAATTTGCAGTCCTAGAAATGAAACCCAAACAAAAGACAGGAGTCCAACTTCCTTCCAGCAAACATTCTCCAGGATAGGCACCTAAAATGACACAGCTTCTTAGATCAAAACTAGAGGATATTATCATTTCAAGATCTAAGATACGTCACCTCAGGTTCGGAAGATTCTGTTCCTTTCTTTTTAGTGTCATCGTTAGAACCACCAGGAAGGAGCTTGTATTCTGCTTCTTCACCAGCGCCTAGCACAAAGAACCAGATAAAAGGAAATGAAAAGAACAGTGAGATTGAAAGCCCATTAAACTCATTTATAATAAAGAAGTTGTTTCTATAACCTACCATTTACGCCTGACTTTTTCGCAGCCTCAGCCTGAAGTAAGGAAAACATATGATTATGAAAAAAACCAACACTTCACATATATGGCCTTACTTACATACCCTTTCTAGAATTCAATGGGACAAGGCATCTCGATACTAGGAATAGTATCATATATATAACATGCTATTTACTGTACAGAATGGATGCCACTAGAATAGGTGAAAAGAAAGAGTAAAAGTACAAACACTTCAAATGTGCTGTTTCAGTGCATAGATTACTGTATTCAAATAGGAAGAAATTATGCGTTAACCTTTTTCATGATAGTCTCTTTCTTCCACGTTTCAACCCCTCGCAAAAAGGCCTTGGTTGATGTAGCTGCAACAATCATGTAAGTTCAGAAGTTTTGTTGGAGCAGTTCGTAAAGGAAACATGATACTTCGACTGCAGTCTTACCGATGAAGAGTAATATTAGCAGAACTGTGACCATCCAGTCAGCAAATATCACGTTGAAAGTAACTCCAATACTAATGCCAAGCATCAGCATTGGCTGGATGAGCACAGCCAAGTCATAATCAATGATAGGCATATCAATTGTTGGATGCCTGAGCTTTAGATTATAGTAAACAGTAGAGACCGAAGCTCCCATGATCATACCTGACAAATCAAGAGTAGAATCTGTGAGTCCCTTAACCAGGAGAGAGCAGCTAATAGCAGAAGATGACAATTCAGAAATTAAGACTTGCTACTACAGTGCTGGTGCTGATATAGTGTGAATTTCAGGGGGTAAATTATCTGATATACACACCTTGTCTCATCAAGCCGCTAAGTTCTGTTTACAAATCCAAATTGCGAGTTAAGCTAAAAGACCCTACTATTACACTTCTCACAGAATGGGGAAAGTATATCCAACATTATGCCAAAATAAGATAGCTGAATTTAGCTCAAGGACTGTGCAGGGCAGGAAAGCTAATTGTTAAAGAGTAAAAGAATGTTTACCAATGAATACTTGAGTCAGGAGTATTTCCAGGCAAAAAGTTCAGGGTCTATTAAGTCATTGCTCATTAATTTCCCTTCTATTTTCTGTTTTTAACATTAAGTTCCTTCATTTCAGTAATCATGGGCAAGTCCAGATGGATCAGAACAAAATAAATACGCACTACAATTTGTGAAGCCACTGAAGACATGAAACTAACACAAAGTTTCCTTAAAAGTCAATGTTATACTAGTGCTTCCCATCTTACACTTTGAAATTGCAGTAGATGATTTTGGATCAAATCCAATGATAAGAGAAAGCATAGGTACGAATATGCCACCACCACCAACACCACCTACACTCCCAAATGCTGCTCCCAAGAATCCAATTATGGAACCGACAACAATTTCCCATCCAAATTTCATATCCTGCAACGACATTCAGTAGGGCACATTCAGAACTTCCATTGTCAAACATAGTCAACAGGATCAAACCAAACAGGAGCCTAATGAAAACATCCGGGCAGCTATAAAAGTAGAATATTATTAATCAAAATGGCTCATGAATGTGGCAGTTCAATCATAGCTCAGATTTTCAAAATGCCAACATCTTAGAGGTCAGAAACATCAACTCACATAACTACACTGGAACGTAAACTTCACATTGGCCATCTTACTCATACATCTTAGTCATGTGGATTCAATTTTTTTGTTTTACCGATCAGTTCTCGGACGTATATTTTCATTCCTTTTCTCTTCTTGATCTCAATGGTAAGTAAATATACATAGTGACATGCAAATCCTCCACCTTCAGAAGAAATTAGGAAGAGGAAAAAAGGACACAAGTGCACACGAATATGCATATAGATAACTTATTGGTGCAGTTGGGTGGATTTAGTATACAAGGCACGGGTTCACCTGAACCCAATAACTTTGGCTTAAACCCCGTATATGTGTTAGAATTTTCAAATAGGTACAAAATAAGAGTTTTCAAACTCAGTAAATCAAATGGACTGCGGTAGCATCGAATTGGACTGCTTGGATTTGGGTTCAATTTACTCTCGCTCAATTAGCTAAAACTACTCATAGATTCAATATTAGTCCATTAAATGGTCCCACCTAATCAGCTAAATCATGTTTAAGTAAAGTACCAACTACCACTATCAATCAATCTTGCAGATCACATAAAAACAACAAATCACTACTAGCTCTAAAAATTCAAAACTACAAACAGAATACAACAAAACTAAAAGTTCATTTAAAATGAAGAATATTTAATTACCGGCCAAACATGTTGGTAACCAGATTCATTAGGCTTCCACAAGAAATTGACAACATCAGTAAGGTATTTAGCATCTGACTGCTGCTGATGAGTTGCATTATTATATATTTGTTCCCTCTTCAAACTTCTTTCAGCTGAAACAAACATTGCAGCCAAAAGAAAACTCCATGAAATTGACAACAGTGGCCTAAAAATCTTCCACCTTGTACCAACTCCAGCCATAACCAAAAAAATATTACTTTCAACTAGCACAAATTAACAAGATAGAGCTTCAAACAAGGAAATTAAAAGACTCAATTTTGTATTTTAGAAACAGAGAGAAAAATGGGGAAAAAGGAGAAGAAAAATAAATTAAAAAGTAGGAGTGGGAGACAAGTAGACGTAGTAGATGGATGAATGAATGAATGAGTGAATATATAAGAAAACGAGACTTTAGTTATGTGAATCATTACTACATAAAACGACACAGTTTGAGTGGCTTGTTGATGGAAGACTTGGATTTTGTGTGTGGGCCCGCGGTGTGAATCGCATTAAGTGGGTTCCGAAGGCAACTACTCCTTCACTGCACGTTCATTTCTCTCTCCAATTTCCCCTTTTATTAAAGTAGACTCTATTGTGAGTAAATTTTTATTTCTCCGTTTCAATTTAGATGTGTAGTTTAAATAAATATAAAAAAAAACTTTTAAAATATGTAGTCCTAGAAGTTTAAGGGATAAAAGTTTTGTGTGTGGTCATGATATTTTTGTGACTATAAAAGCTTCTCATTACTGGATAAAATAAAAAAATTTAAGTTAAATTATTTTCAAATATAGAAATATATCATTCTTTTTCAAACAGATTAATAAGAAAAAAAAGTATGTTTTTAAAAAAAAATTATTACGGGGAAAAATCAAATTTATTCTTATTAATCAGAACTGTTTAGTTTTTCTTGAATATACTTTTAGTCAATTCATTCATATGTTGCCCAATCCTGAATAGTACAAAGTAAGATTTGATCCACTTCTCTTTATTATATTGAGGATCAGCAACGAAATGGGAAAAAGTGAAGATGGCCACATAAAATTGAACATACACCTTTTGTGTGTGAAATTTTTAGTTGTACTACTAGCTACTGTAGGTGGTAGTTAATTTTAATTAATTGGGTTTGAAAATGAAAAAAAATTAGTAAAACTTTTATAATTGAACCTTAAATTACATGTATAAATCTTTAAGGTAGAAAAGGATAAATGAAATGCTCTCGTTTGCACAAGATCTTCACTCATAGATTAGCGATAAAGATGCTCAATATTACCATTCATAAATTTAATCATATTACGTTTGACATAAACCCAAAATGGCATAAGCTTGTGAATTACATATAGGAGAAGAAGTGTTTTCGTCTCTAATTTTCTTAACTTGATTACTTATTATAAAAAGACCAAATGTCATGATCTAATTTAGGGAATACATTTCACTAATTCTTAAATATGGTCTTAGTAACTAAATCTTACGCAAATGCACAGTTATAACCAAAAAAAAAAAAAAAAAGGAAGAAGAATTCGTTTAAAAAATGTCAACGGGCCTATATACAACTTAGGAAAGTTTGAAAAAGTTTTAGCTTTTAGCTATTTTCAATTTTTTTGGATAAATTTTTCACCAATACATGATTAGATAATCTAACTCTTTTTTTTCTGTATTAGATTATCAAACTTGCAAAATAAACGAAAGGATAATAATGGTGTTGGCCCCTTTTCTTGGACCTTAATTATCAGGCCAAAAAAAAAAAAAAAAGAAACAAGTCTGAAAGCCTATATTCTTACCCAACGTGGGGAAAAAAGAAAAAGAGTAAAAAGGTAAACAATGAAAGACCATTTTATTATTATTATTATTATTTTATTGTTATTATTGCTCTTTTCAGTTCTCACTAAAAAAGCAAAAGCAAAACTTGGACCACTCAATTCTCACCTAACACAATGTGGGATACGTGTGATTTAATTTAATGAATAATTAATTAAGAAATAGAGTACAAAAGAAATCAGACCAGAAAAGACCATAAAAAGTGGTTCACATTTTGTTCAAAAAATATATAATAAAGGGATGAGCCATGAGGCAGGTATCAGTTGATTCAGATGTGAATCAGATCTTGAAATTGTTTATTTGATTCCTTTTGCAAAGTTAAATATTGACAATTAGTAGAACAAATTCTTAGCTTAGCGCATGTTCTCAATCCCCCCCCCCCCCCAACCAACCCAACCCACGGAAAAAAAA